CATTCACACTCTCCTTCTCTGCTTACAAGTGAGGAAGGAATAATAAGATGGGCCTGATTCCTTAAACCACAGTATTCTATTTTTTATTTTGTTTATTTATTTAATATATTTAGCAACGGCCCAATTATTTTAAATATTTCAGTTTGCCACAACAGCAAGCATACTGAAATCACCAAATCTGCCTCCTATATATATTGCTTCAGAGCAGACCAGACCAGACCAGAATCTTATCTGAGAATTTTAAAATAAGTCATTTTCAGCCTTGTTGCATCCATCAAAAAAACAATATTCCATTTCATTTCTTGTGTACAATAACACAACAGGGATATCTGACATTTTGAAGAGAAGTCATTCTGTATGATAGCAGGTAGTGACTGGAGAGAATTCAGTTACATACCGTATATAAAATCATGATATTCTGGTAGGTTGTATAGTTTGATAGGGAAAGGGTTTTATACGGGTACAAAATAAGAATTATAATAGTGGCAAAAATGTAATAGTATTACTATTATTTATTAATGCTTTGTGCTCCTTGCCTACATATTCAGGAATAAAAAACAAAATTACCAATCTAATGCCACATTGGTAAATGAAAGCCTAATAGGAGAGTGGCTTATACAGGGTGTGGGGGTAATTATTTAGTAACACACTCAGGATAAGACTGCTACATTGGAACTATTTAATAATTGAATAAATCTAATTAGAGACTGTTACACTAGGTTTGAAGATGTTTGGAATAGACAGTAGAGAAGATGGAATGCATGGTCAGAGATGCAGGAGATAAAGAAGAGCAATTAATGTGCATACATGGAATAAGGAAGGGGAGGCAACTCAAGATTCCAGATGAAAGATGGCCAAATTCTAAGCCAAGTACACTACAGCCATGAACGGAAGTATCAATATCACAGGGAATTTGAATGAAGCTTACCTGCATTCAAGAAAGAGGTATAGTAGACACTCTTTAGGTAATTTAGGCTACAAAAATAGATTTGTCTCTTATAAGATTCTTGCCGTGGTCAGAAACATGCTGAGCAAAGAGAGCATCCTGTTTGGGACAGAAATGACGAAGGGAGTGCTAGTGGGGTATACCTGGAAGCTTAAATGAAAAGTGCATAGTGTAAGAAGCTAAGGAGGACTAAAGAAACAAGTTAGAAATGTTCTACTGATTGAAGAGGTAAGTGATGTAGAAAAGAAGAGACAAAGTCCACCAAACATGACCCAACTGTCCACATTGGGAAGATATGCTACACACCCCAGCATATCCATCACAGCAGTGGCAAATAGAAAGGCCAATAACTGCTTAATCATGTGTCCAGTGCTTGTAGAAATTAATATATCATTCTTAACATAAAAATAATATGCTTTTAAAAAAACATTGTATACAGAGTCCACAAGGAACACTCCTTCAGTAGTTTAGTATCATGGATATTATAAAAATTCACCCAAGTCCTTCAATAGTGAGCTATTAGTTATGCCAGTGACAATCCATATCAGAGCAATTCATCACAGAAGCTATCTCCTTAGTCTGTAGCTCTAGTATACTGTTCATAGACCTCTCCTATACTTTCTGGCCACAGCATTCGGGAATCAGGGAAGCCACGGAACCTTAAGAGAATGCAGAGGCTGTCTTAAAATTATGCATATGAACTCTATTTTTCCATGGATTTGTTAAAGCAAGAATGTTTTGTTTGTTTTGACAAATTATGCTGAAGCATTGAATCATGATTCATTAAGTGAATTAATCATAGTCCTACCAAATAATAAACAGAATAAATTAGCTCTCTAGCAAAAGTGGTATAAAGCACAAAGCAGGCTGATAATGTAACTTCAGCTTCATGAAAATATGTTGCCAGTGGAGAAAAATTTATCAAGAAGCATCAGGTGCTACAAGGTGACATTTTTTGCAGAGCGTTCACTCCGGTAATAAACATATTTATCATCAAATTCAAGGAGGCACTGTTTTGCTAAGTACATCGTTTGCTCACCTTACATGGAGAGCATACATGAGATTACAGTGTTTTGTACAATTAACAATAGTACACTGTCACTAATACAGCTGTAAATAGCATTCTAGGTAGCAATGGAACGCTGAAATTGTTTTGTGTCTGTGTGGACCGAATACGGGATGAGGTTTTTTTATGTTGTTAAAAGACTTTAAAAAATATTTGCTAGATCTGATTAAAAAATATTTGTTTCAGGCAATTTGGGTTTCGTATTGGGTCGTTTCAGTTTGGATTAATTTTAACTGTGTGTGTATATAGTGGATGCAGTGTTTGTGTAGTGTATGCAGTGTGCAGTGTGTGTAACGATAGGGAGCCCTTTTTACAAGTGCACTGATGGGGCATTTTTGTGAATTTGATTCACAAAATAAGTAACAAATAGAGTGGAAAAAAAAGGAGGACCAGTAAAAAAAACTCTGAATCAAATATCACTAAACAAATTAAATGTCTCATTTATTCCTTTCACTTTTTTTCTGATTTGGTTACATGGAAATTCGGAATTACAGATTTAGGCGAATCTAGTATTATTCAAAATTCGCGCAAATCGCTATTCATTTAAAACTAAATGCACAAGTCCATTGTTTATTTTATTGAGTTATATTTATGATATTTAACCCCTTATGGACGAAGGCAATTGTACAAGTTCCAAGCCAAAACCTGGAATTTGAGCTATATGTCTGTTCAACCATAATTTACGACTTTCATATTAAGTGCACCCACACTTATTATATATCATATTGTTCAGAAGAAATAGGGCTTTCATTTAACATAATTTATATATATATGGAACACAATTTAATATGAATAAGATCTACAAACGTGTGAGAAATTAAGACATTTTATTATTAACACTGCACCCACTACAGCCTATATTACCCCTGCACACACTGTAGCCTCTATTGTCCTCTGCACCGACTAGAGCCCCTATGCCCCCTGCACCCACTTCAGCCCCTATCCTTCTAAACCCCACTTTAGCCTCTAATGCTCTCTTTATCAACTACAGCCTTTGTCTCTCCCGTGCAGCCCACTAAAGACCCTATCTATCCCCTGCATCCGCTGCACCCATCACAGCCGCTATTCCTTCCCTACACCTACTTCAGTTGCTATAACCACGGTGACTACCACTAATATAATTTAGTGGTGAAAAATATTAGTGCCCCCTAGTTTTGATGGTGTCTTATGAACTCCCCTGTGTGTTGTACCTAGAGTCACCATTGGCTTTGTGTCAGTTTGTGAGTTTAAATGTCACTATCATTGTGCAAACTTTATACAGATATGTAAACCATGTACACTATACCATCCACTTTCATTGATTACATATTTGTGCAGTAATAGCGGGGAATATCCCGGTCTCATTGGACTGC